GGAAACCAAGACTTAAATAGTCTATTGAATGAGGAGCTTCCATCAAAATTTAGAGGTTTTCTAAAACTATAATGTTTTTGTGAAAAATTAGTCTTTTTGCTGAGAGGCTAAATGTTATTAACAGAAGATTATGAAACAGGAAAGGATGTGATGGAGAGGTGCATTAATTATTTAAGTGAAGAATGCAGTGCAAGCTAATCAGTGATTCTCTACTATGGTCTGTACAGTCAGGGATGGCAAATCTGGTGTAACTGATGTCAAAGGAGGTAACCGAAGTATTGAAAGATGCTGCAAGCATTTTGTGAACTCTCAGAGAGTTTGTAGCCTTGATCACAGCTTTGCAGTGCTGCAGACATCAGGGATGGCTCCGTGGGTGCTGGGACCTGTGTGATAAGGCTGAGCAGCTGGGGCAGAGTGCCCTATAGCCTGTAGTGCGCCTTGAAGCCCTGACTGGCCATGCTGCCTTGGGGATTGCTGTTGTGCTCTTCTTGGCAAGAGTCACCACCTGGCAGAGGTGTACAGGGTCTGCTGGGCACATCTCTGTGGCATTTTGTGTGACTGTGCTAAGGAGCTGCAGAGCCTGGCTTAGGGATTTGGGCTGCCTAACCTGGTTAAAGCCCAGGCTAATACAGGCTTGCAGTTTTTGATCATGGTGTGCTATGGAGCAAACTATGTATGCCCACAAAAAGTGATGCTGATGACCTTTAAATCCCACTGGAAAGCACAGTCTGAGCTCTTAAGGCATTGAGGCTCCTGAAGAAATGTCCCCCTTACTGCTGTCAGCAGTGGTGGCAGTGACACTGGCTGCGTGGTGCTGCTGTTTCACGGGGTGCTGGTGTCTCTTCCAGAAGCAGGACAAGAAGGGTCAGAGGAGGAAAAAAAATTATAAATATGACAGAGACCTGCATGAAATTTCCTCACTTCTGTTTATTCCCATATTTTTCATTATAAAAACGTCTCATGTGAGATCAGTAAATGTATTGATCTGAAGAGCCAACAAAACAACAGCAACAAGAACTAAGCCAAAAAAACCCTTCCCACAAAGTCATCTCATGAGGAAATCATGTGGGTCTGTGAGTTCATTTTGGCTGGAATACCCAGTCATGCAGATTTTGCACTGTCACAGGACACTTCTGTACAGAAGGTACTTCTGTAATTCAGCTGTTTTTCTCACCATCTTAGGTTAGGAACGGGACAGAGAGAGAAGTACATGTGTTATTCTGCTCTGCTAAGCCAAAACTAAGCACAGATGTACTGCGGCCAAGACTGTTTAGCTGAATTGACTGTTTGCCATAGCTGCTTTCAGAAAACACTTAAAGTCTCTGGCCTCTGTCACATGAAGAAATTTGCCAGAGGGGAGCTCTCTGTCTTGCCAGAGACAGTGTTGCTTCACATGAGCAAAAGGGTACAGTAGTATGGCTGCCTGCAGGGATAGATTTTGGGGTGATGTCCATGGCAGTGTGCAAGCTTGGTTAATTGATTTGGTATTTGCATCAATTTAAAAATGAATGCAGAATAGTCTCCTCACCCTATTAAAATATTTGTGTTTTGATTTCTTGCATGCTGAAACACAGACTGATCAAGTGCTGCAATACCTGTCCACCCATGGCAGTCTTGAGAGAAACAGGCTTGTGCCAGCATTTTGTTTTCCCATAGAGAGTTGACGAGTTTGCTCGCAGGACTGACTGAGCTAACCATGGTCAAGACATGTTATTTGGGATTGATACTAAAAGGCTGAGATCCAGAGGGAAAGGATACAGTGAAAAAAAATTCCATTTCCATTCTAGAAAAAAGACACTTTGTATATACAAATCCACATCCAGCTCTACCAGCCTCAGTCGGGGAAGAGAATAAAAACATTTTCAGAAGAAATTTAGCTTCTGTTAGGGGGAGTTAATGCGAATTGACTGTCATTCACCTTATCAAAATAGAATCATGTTGGGTAGAAACTGTTGGGTACAGAAAGCTTACTGTCATAAGCTTCTAAAGGAAATGTTCCTGAAGCATATTACTACCCTGTTGTGGGGATGTCTAGGTGCTTTCTGGAGTTGGTGGGCTGGCAGAAGGCATCAAAACATTCGGATTTTATCTTTCAGACAAAAATAAATAAAGGAAGGTACTTTTGTTGGTTCTTTTCGTTTTCCATTGACTCTCATTTTAATGCAGACTGGCTCATTTTGCCAAGACAAACATGATGTGTTGGCTCTGCTGCTGAGCATGGTGTTGGCTGATGGTCAGGGAGTTAGCAGGATGTCTGAAGGAAGAAAAGTACCCATCATGAGGCAGCTGGGCAGATCTTAGACAACACCTGGGTCAAGAATGGCTTCCACAATGAGACATTTTTACACACACCAATTAACCAAAACCACCTCAGGTTAAAAAAAAAAATCGCTTTCATTATGGTACAGGAGGGGTAAAAGCCTTTCCATGCTGAACAATAATAAGCACAGCACACAGAAATCAGCAAAGATTTCACCCTTTATCTTTCTGTGAGATTTTGGAAAAGACTGTGTGCTTTTGGGGGACAAAAGCCACCCAGTTTTTCTTCTATATCACCCCAAATTATCATCCAATATTATTGAAAAAAGAGGAATCTGAGGCAGTGAAATGTTTCCTGGATGGATGTGTGGGGATATGGCTGCCTCTGATTTCCTCTCTTTCTGTCAGCAATATTAATAGTAGTGGTCCTTTGTTGTGGGCTCAGAAACTGCACTGTCATAAAGGAGAGGGAGAAAAAAGAGTCTTCCCAGGCTGAGGACATAGCCTGTAGGCCTTCTTGTGTCTCTCCAAAAGTCCCTGGGTTTTGCCTTTCTTTTACTCCTGCTGTGCCTGGTCTTAGCCCAGGTGCTGGTGGCCAAGGGGCTGCAGCGGAGAACAGACTGTGGGGGCTGGAGGCCAAGGCAGCCCTGCTGGCACAGACCTGTAGGAGAGAGAAGGCTGGTGGTCCCCTCTGCCTGTGATCCAGGACAGGAGCCCAGAGCCAGCCCTCCCTCAGGGGGAAAGGCCTTCAGCATCCAAGCTGCATTTCTGGGGCTGGTATCGGCACCAGATTCCTTGTAAGCATGTGGTCCTCTGCAAACCTTGGAGCCCTTTCATCTGTGCTCTGACATGCCTTTGAATCCAGGATTTAATTTTAACATTTTTTGGACAGACTAAAGAAGGTGGGGACTGTAGTCACAGTTTCCCCTGCTGTTTATTTTTGCACAGTGCACACTTTCCACCATTGCCCCGAAAAAATTCAGGAATTATCTGCACAAAACTGCAAATCACCTGAAGCCATTTGTTTATAGTTCAAAATGAGGCATTAAAAACAATGGGCCGAGTAAAGCATGAAAGTAGATCAATCTCAACCCCGTTTTAACTTCCTCTCCTTCAAGATCACTTTGAACCTACAGTAATTATGATTCTTTCTGCTAGCTTAAATCACCCTTGCCCTCATTAGAGCTGTGCAGAGTGACCATTTTCCATTTCATGAGTTGCCACGTGTAAAAGCCGCTGTGTTTGCAAGTATTCAGGCATACCTGGCTGCACTACACAAGTCATAAGTGATAACAGTCATAATTAATATCCATTATACACCTTCCATGTACACTGACATCACTGATAACATCAAGTGCAATTTATGTGGTGCTGTGAACAGCAAGCTTCAGCTTCTTTTGAGGCATCCTAGAGATGCTTGTTGGTTGTACTGGGAAAGAGGTTCCTTTTAGGCACTCACCCTGACTATTTTGAGGTGACAAAAATGACCTGAAGTCATATCCAAAGCATAGAGTTTCTGTAGGCTTAGAGTTAAAAAAAAAAAAAAAGGGAAGTGGGTTTCTAACCAGTTAAGAATTTTTAGGCTGCTTTAGACTTTAATGTTGTTTAAATGTTAGATTCTTGGGACACACTTATTGTTCCAACAACTTTATTTCAAAGCTATGACCCTCTTGCCAGCTGTCAGTCACTTTTCATACACTGAGAAACCCTTTCTTTGTGTATTAAGAAGATACCTTTTTCTACAGTGAGAAGTTGAAAAAAAAGTGCTACCTGAAGGCATTTGCAGTAATCTATCCTTTTCCCAAGTGTGATTTCGTAAGTCTGATGGTGACTGCTGTCAGGCAGGTGGATCCTACCTCCTTCTTCTGCCTTTAAACCAGACGTCTTTGGAGACCTCTAAATGTTATAGCTGATGTTAAGGCACAAGTCTGCCTTCATGGCAGAGAAATAGAAAGACGTGGTATTCTCTAAATATCTTAATTGCCTCTCCTGATATCAGTGGTGTTACATCTGGGGTAATTTGGCCTCTTAATTACCTCAGAAAAAGCCTGAGCATCGAGCGGAGATGCCCGTAAAAAGCCGAGGAGTGCGAGTGGATTTCCCTCCCATCCTCCCCCCCGCCACCACCTCCCCAAAGGTCTAAATGGCTGCCCGGCGGTGTAAACTTTTGTACCCCTTTCATGCCCTGGGAGGTTAATCTCTCCATGTCCTCCCCCTTTCATATGCATGAGGAAGAGGAGATTTAGNGGCCGGGGGCAGCTGCGGGGCTGCGGGCGGGGAAGAGGCCGGGCCGGGCCCACGGAGCGGAAAGAACAAACTCTCCGGACCCGTCTGACACGCGGGTCAGGGGGTCAGCCCGAGCTGGTGGAGGCGGCGCGGCAGATTGGAGGCTCGCGATGCCCCTCCGACATCATTTAGACAAACAAGCAGATGGCAGGTGTCAGCGGTGACAAAGAGCCATCTGTGCAGCGGGGACCATCCCCTCCATTCTCTCACAGGCTACTTCATTAAAGCCTCACTTCAGAGTGACTGCGCCGTAGCCTTTAACCAACGGGGCCCCTGCTAGCACGGGGTGGGTTTTCTTTCCCCTTCTTCTTTTCTTAATTTTATTTTATTATTTAAGGGCGGCTCGAGTTCTGCTCTCAGCCACCTATGGGCAGCTTGTTTGTGCACCTTACTGCCTCCGAAGGGGCAGGAGGGGAGGAAAATAAAAACAGAAACACCCGACAAAACCCTCCTGCCATGCTGAAGAAAAGCATGTTTGCGCAGAGCCGAATAAGTGACTGTAAACACGGCAGACGGAGGTTAGAGATCCCCCGGGGAACTGCAGGCTCTCTGCTCTGAGGGGCTGCAGGGAAGCCCCGGCGAGTCCAGGGCCTTTCACTGGGTGGAGCGGTGGGAGAGCTGCAGGGCAAGGCAGGTGCCCCTGTGGGGCCACAGTGACCTCAGGTCTGGCCATCCCGACTCGCCACTCCTCTGGAAGCTGAGGCAGCCCCTCAGCTCCTCCAGAAATCCAGATGCGCCTCCAAAACATGCCGAGGATGAGGCACAGGGCAGGCCCCAGGAGCGGGCCTTGGCAGGGATGGGTACAGACTGCAAAGGGAAAGGCACAAAGGCAGTGTCAGCGGGGCCCCCTGAGGTGGCGCTGCCAGAGGTGGGGCACAGAAGAGCAGTCTGCTCTGCAAGCCTCTGGTGGCAGCAGGCCTGAGCAGAGCTGACATCTTTCTGACCTGGGGGAGGAAGGGCAGGGAGCGGGTGTGTGCCACCGTTTATTTGTTTATTTGGTCGGTTGGGCTGTGATGGGGGATCTGGGAACTTTCTAGGCCAGTGCACCTCTGCGGCCAGTCGTGCTACTTTAGCCTCCCCTGCAGATCCCAGTGGAGAACGGCACCGGCATTGCCTCTGAACAGGCCTGCCTGTCCCGGGGAGTCTCGGGGGAGCTGTGCCAGGGTCTCCTGGGAGACTCCCGGCCCCTTCCTGCAAACAGCAAACTGAGAAAGTTGAAATTTCCCCTGTGAAAAGCAGTAGGGTGGGTGGAAAACACACAGAGACACCTCTTCTCCCCCTCCCTGTCCCCCATCTCAGAGAATGTGCGGACACCAGAAAGCAACACTCAGTAGTGGATTTTGGGATTGCCTCAAACAAAGCAAAAGCTATTCCCAAGTTTCTGCCAAGTTTCTGATCAGGCTTTTTTTTTTTCTTGTTTAAATGGGTCTCTGCAATTTCTGATTAGAGCTAAGGAAGCAGAGATGGAAGCACTGAGAAGCTAAATCAAATGCTGTCCTTGTACCATCACTGATTTTGGTAGTACCAGGTAGGACTGGAAATATCCTTGGAAAGTACATTTCAGAACATCTGAAAGCAAGAGCTTTCAGACTGAGGATGTCTAGATATGTGTAGAATTGTGATGCTTGGTCATCTGAGCTAGTTGAAGCCAATGCTTTTCCTTTTCCAGGTAGCAGCACTGACTTGAATAGGAACCCAGTGCTTGATGATAATGCAGGGGGCATAATTTGTGTATACAAGTCCTGCTCTCAATCACAGCTTGTGATGTGTGTTGGCATGCTCATACTCTGCCCTATGAAATGGTCACAAATGGCTTGTAAGGAGTGTGAGTACCAGGCTGTTTCCTGAATCCTTCTGGGTGTCAAGGTATGAAAAGTGAGAAGGAGCAGAAAACTCTCCTATATCAGCAGCAGCCACGTCTGGCTTTCAGACTGGCAACATCAGATCCTTTATTAGTTTATAAACATTGGAGTTCTCCGGGGAGTTGTCCAGATCCACTTACAGCCCCTGAGTGACAGAGGCAATGCTTGGAGTAAGGCAGTATCCGTGAAGGAAATTTGGCTTCCCTGTTAACAGAAAAGGGCTCCTGGGACTGCAGCAAAAGACTGACCAGTTACATGCAGGAAACCCTTCAGTGCCAGCAGTCACTCCCCTCAGCAGAGGGGAAACGGCTGGTTGGCTAAGAAGGCAGAGGGGCTAACTTTTTCCATCCTATTAGCATGTTTACTTAGGGCAATTCCCAGACAAATCATCTCACTTGGGCTATCTTGAGAATAAAATCTTGGCAACGTACCATCCACCTTTCAGGCCTGGCTGGGCATCAATAAAGGTATACTCCTCAGTTAGATAATTCTCTGAAAAATGGCTGTATTTACCAGCAGCTTCCTGTTTCTCCTGATAATAAGGTGAAAATATCTTACTCCTGACAGCTCATAAAATAACCCAAACCCCTCTCAATAAACAGACACGAAAAAGATGACCAGCAGGTATGTTTTCAGCCAGCCTCTAGGTGGAATTTGGAGCTGGGAGTGCCAGGTGTGTGTGTGAGCTCACAGCCACTTGTATGTGAATGAAACACAGTTTAATCTCTTAATTGGCAGGTTCCAATGGAAACATTAAGATATTTTTAATACAAACAGGTTTTACCAGTAAGCAGCAATAATTGCCATCTGCTTATCACAAGTCTTGGCTTTTTAACTGTTTCACTCCTACTGTCTGCAGTCTTTCCATCATTAAGTAATGTGGGATTCCAACAGAACGTTATGGTATGGTAATCTGATTTACATGGCTACAGGGATAATCATGAAGCCTCAAATACCAGGTCAGTATTTGAATGATGGCATTTCCTTCTGGTGGTGGGATGTTTTCCCTTGATGGTGTATTCCCATCCCATGGGTTTCAACATCTTCACTAAGCTACAGTACAGGAAAATGAAATTTTATCTGGCAAAGGCTCAAGTGGGTGCTCGGGTCCATCTTTCCTGTCCATTTCCTAGGGGTGAGTGTCTGAAAGAGGCATTTAGGCAGCTCAGTATCAACCAGGGTGTATGGACCTGGGCATGTTTTTGGTACAGCTCTGGCATTAGTTTTAAGGAGGATCTATCTTGTCTGATCAATATGAAAAGGGTCAGGGTTGCAGCTCAGTATCCTCCTTGTCTTCCTTGAACAAATTAGTATCCATAGACACAATCAGGCCCTCAAATATTCACAGCTGTGGTTCAAATGAAGTCTCCTAATGAAATGCAAATTCAATAAGACAGTTACATGATCAGCATCAGCTCATTAAGGCCTGGCTAGCCTGTCTCCTTTCTTTGTTAGATCAGCATAAAGCTCCCAACCCTGGTAGAGTTACCCTGGGCTGAAAGCTGCTGGGCTCCGGGCAAAGTTTGGCCCAGACAGCCAGCTGGGGGGAGGCCATGTGCCGCGCCGTGCTGTGCCGCCGGATCAGTGGCACTGGGCTCATGAATATCAGCTGAGGCTTGCTGGCTCTGAAGGAAGGGAGAGGGCTTGGGTTACTCTCCTTCGTCCTGTGTGAAAACCGCAGCGGGCCCACTGAAACCCCAAGGTGACACTGAAACAAACAAGCACCCTAAACCCCAGCCTGCACCAAGACCAAAATCAGGCTTGTGCTTGGATTTTCCCAGGAGAGGTGCTCATCTTGTATTTGCAAGGTTCTTGAAGCCACTGCTCTTTCCTCGGTCACGGGAGTCGGTCGAAAGGATGTCAGGCAGCTGGCTTGCTACCTTCCTGACCCCGTTTCACAATGTCTGTGCTTCTGTGAAAGGGTTGCGCCAGACAAAGCACAAGGGATGCACAGCCCTTGCATCCAAGTACAGGGTATTTTTTTCTTTCTTTCTTTTTTTTTTCTTCCTAGCACCATCGAATGTGGCAATGTTTGACAGGTCTGACCTGCTCAGCTGTAATGAGCCATTGGGAGAAAAGGGACAAATGCAGTTACCTCTTGCCACAAGTCTTGCTGCTGGGAGATGAACTTTGCCACTCTGCCTTGGCTTTAACAAATGCCCCTCAGTGTATCTCAGTGCAAATGTGTTTCCTTTTCATTTTCAAATAGGGACGAATCCTGTATGTTGGATTAGAAATTTCCCATCGCTGACAAAAGTGGAGGGGAAAAAAAAGTCATGTAAAGTTCAAGAGGAGGGCAGAGGGAAGAATGAAAACAAAATGAATGAGCAAGAGACCGTTTCTGTTTTTGTTTTGTTTTTTTTTTTTTGTAGGTAGAATTTTGCAATAATTGGTATTTTAAGATTTTTGTATCAAAAAAATCTTTTTTTTTTGCAGGGGCAAACACAGCATAAAAAATTGGGGTTTTGTACTGAAGTTGTTTATACATCAGATGTATGAATTCAATGCCAGTTGTCCACAATAATCAGAGATCCAAAACCATGCAAGCATGCTTATGAAAAAGGAAAAAGAGTCCCTTTAAGAGCCAGACTTTAGGTGTGTAGTTCTGCTACTTGATTTTCAGTGTTTTATATCTGTGTATTAAAAATAATTTTGGGTTATATTTATCACACGCAGGAATAAACGAGAAGCTGCTCAGGGGCATAAAAAATTCTGGGGAAAAAATGCATAAAATAAATGCAATTTTATACATATAGTGCACTCAGGACAGATTTATTGTAGCAGGTTGTAGCCTCTCCTCTCTTTCCACCAACACCTTGTGCTGTGGCTGTTGTGATCTGGGTCGTGGGAGGACAGAACTGGGTTTTGAAGAAGAAAGTCAGAAAGATGATAAAACTCTGCTTTGAAAAAAAAAGACCCAAAGTAGAAGAAGTCCTTTGGAGAGCAGCAGGAATGATAAGGACAAGCAAATACAACCTATGAGAAGAGGCTGGAGGAAATGGAAGAGGTTTGGAAAAGGCAAATCTGAAGGGGAATTGTAATAGGAGCCCTCAGATATGTAAGGTTAATAGAGGAGGGATATTGATCTATTGAGCATTAAGAGAGATGTAGGTTAGGAAAAGCCTGCTAACTGTAGGCATGAGGAGCAATGGTTTAGGGCAGCAGCGGGTCCCTGCTCAATTGAAGCAGCAAATGGTCTTTTTGCTGGGTTTGGAGTTTTCACCCATCCTCAGAGAAGAGAGGAACCAGTGCGTATCTTGGGGCTCCCTTGCCAAGCTGTGCCACAGAGTTTGTGGTGAGGACACACGGAGGCAGTCGGTGGGGACACACAGGATGAGGTGGAACGCTGCAGTTGGGACAGTACAAGCAGCAGCTCTGAGCACGAATGTGAAGACAGAAGGTTAATTTCAAATCAGGCTCTAAGACAATTGCTGAGTTTTTTCAGGGTCTGAATGGCTAATTCCTTTTACCATCACTGCTTATTCTTATCTCCTATCTTTGACCCACGTGCACCCCACTGGACAGTTGTGAAAGTCTTCTAGTCTGGGAACAATGTAATGTAGCTGTGGTAACCAGCCTCCACAGCAGTGGTGAGAAACAAACAGCCTGTGCATGCTCGGAGTATAGTTTCCAGTCACGTATTGACCAGAATGCACTCGGAGCAGCGACTGAATGACTTTGGTAACGGGCACAATCATAAAAGCCAAAAAATCCTCACAAACAATTTGTGAGTGAGGCTAGAAGTGAAACATGTTGACTGTATAGCTTGCTAAAAATAACCATGCCGGCTCTAGCTGTCATCACATCTCTGCTCTAATCCTGCAAGTAGCGTGTGAAGGGTTGCCCTAATGCCCCGCACTGATTCTTCCCTCCGAGTGCACAGCGCTGTGTGTCTGAGGAGCCGCGAGCAGATTGCCAAGCGAAGCCGAATTTGCTCCCTGGGCTTTGTGCAATCAGCCACTGCTCCCGCCGTTTTGTCATCAAGTCAGCCGCAGCCTTCCCCATGTTGCTGAGGAACATGCTGGAGCAACCCGGAGTGTCACGCCTCCGATGGAGGCTTTCACTAGCTATCAGTGGTTGTGCTATACCACATTAGAGGTGTCCCAGATGCCAAGCTCCCACTGAAGAAGAATGTAGAAAATCATAAAAGTACCACTGCAGAAAAGGTATTAATGAGGCAGTAACATTTGTTACGCTTTGTCATGGTGCCAGATTCCTATGCCAGAACTACACGGTGTGTTAGAAACTAAAATCTCCTGTTTACAGCATCTCGTCAAAGGATGAAACACCAAAAAAACGAGATCTATACATTTTCAACTTTAAACTTTACTGCTTACAGGATGTTCAGTCTGAGATATGTTGTTGATTACATCTGGGTAATCTTGGAACTTGGGAACCAGATTTTCCTGAAATACCTGTTTTCCTAGCACCATACTTCTGTTATTATGAAGTCTTTTCAAAGTGAGATATGTCTCCTAAGTACTATTTATATTTATTTGGCAAATGGATTCAGGGAACTCTGACAGGC